TACAGAATATCCTGTGACACCATCTGTTCAAGCTGGAAGGGAACAGCGTGAATAATCCTCTCATATGCATTTCTTGATGAAGACAAGTTAAATTTCATAGATACTTCAGAATAGGTCAGTAAATTGCCTGTACCATCCATTAGATGAGCAATAGACCAAATCCCCTTCTTCAGCCACTCTTACATAAATAGTGATCTTTTTTTTTTTCTTAAATAAAATACAGCGATTGTTCCAGATAGGCATATTGTGTGGAGAAAAGTTATGCTTGAACACCAGTTTCCAGTATTGAAGAACTTGTTGATGGAAGGCAGATAGACTCAAGTGCTTACTGAGTTCAAAATCACAACTTAAAAGAAATTTAATTCCAACTTTTTTGAAAATCGCATTTGGAATCGCATGCCAGATCGAATCTCCGTGCTTCATAAAGCCTTGCAGCCATTTTATTTTAATCATCCCATTCATGATATCAAAGTCAATAACTTTCAATCCCCCATCTTCATAGCTTTTCAGCATGTCATTTTTCCTAATATAATGGCATTTATTTCTCCAAATAAAGCTTAGGTTAACTTGGTCTATCATTTTTTTTCATTCTAGATGAAATAGCTAATGAGTATGCTGGATAAGAAAGCCCGGATAGACTTTCTGTCTTTATAAGTAATATTCTCCCAAACACCGTCAGGTCCCTCTGCAGCCAGCTACTTAGTATTGATTTACCTTTGTCAATACTTTTTCCAAAGTTGCACCTTTCCCTAAATTCCTAGCTTTTACCAATACTGAGTCCTAGATATTTAATTTCTTTTGTAACTGGGATACACTACAACCAAACTTGCAGAACCACCACCAGAGACTAACTTGAAGAACCCAGCTACCACCTGATTGGACAACTTGACTTTGCTCTGTGATTGGACTGTCACTGTCCAATCAGATTCGGGTGTGATTCACACTAAATCTGTGCAATTTGCTGCTTTCTGCCTGTACACAGATGTTCCCAAAAATGCTTGTTTTCAGTGTCTTTGTATAACATAATTTGTTTACGGATTTTATTCACACGTTCAAAAACGTTTTTATGTACAAATCTTTCCTACACATGCTCACAAAAATTGTGACCATGTATGTATATACATTGCAATTTGTACCATTAAAATGCCATTCATTTGACTAGCAGGCAATAATGGGTCACACTTGGTAAGATTGATGTAATGCTGTGTGCCACCACTAAAGGGCAGCCTTACTGTGTGCTGAGGAAAAGGAACAGGAAAAAGAAAAGTTTCAAGATATGTTTTAGGCTTTTAGGCAAAACTGTGGCTTATTCCGACCATTAATTATTTTTTAATAAAACCTACAACCAGTAATATTTAGTATGAATAAAGAGGGTTTTCAAGTAAATGCTGTACAGAGATAAATGTAAGAATTTACAGTTTTCAGCTGCTTTAACAAGTCTAGCAACACAGCTTATCACATGTTGTCAAATGTAGTTTACATCTAAGGAATCAGAACCGAGCGATGTATCTGTCCCATTGTTTTTAGTCAACACAGGATAGTACTGTAATTCAAGAGGTGTGGAAATTTTCAACTTCTACACAGTGAGTTTAAGTTTCTGTCTTCCTGCTTGAAACCTTCTGATAGATGGGATCAGATGCTCACTGTAGCACATCATCATGTGTGTCACCTCCTTCCCAGTGCCTTTGCCTTTGTAACTGGGCTCTAAAGAACAAGGGCAATATAGTGTCCAGATTTAAAGAGATATACACAGGAAACGATTGAGATGTACAAACCACAGCACAGGCTGACTGTAGATATTTGCTCAGCCTTTGATTTTGAATCACTTTCAAGATAAGCACACTGGGCATCACCTGCTATCATGATCTCCAGCTCAGCCAAGGAGAGGTCTGTTGGGTCCATCAGGAACATGTTGACATCTCCCACCATGCACTGCTCCTCTTCTATACTGGGATCTGCCCATCACTACTTATCCAAAATGATGACTGTGCAATCTGGCAAAAAATAAAAAAAGTCAAATTAAACAGCTTCTCTTTAAGTAAAAATTGAATGATTTCACTAGTGCATGACCTCAGAAAGAATGATGTCATATTTTCATATCATATCCAGTGATTACTAGTTATTTATAAACACTTTAACCTAACAAATCTGATGGATGATGGTACGAATGTCTGGAAGGAATGATTTGGAAACCATAAGGACAGAACTTGAAAGGAGTGTTGACCTCATAAAGCAAATGTCACTGAATCATATTTCACTTTATCCTGTCATAAGTTGTATTAAATAAGCTTCTGTTATTTAGACAATCTTTTAGCTTATTTATGTAGGCATTGTAAAAATTCAGAACGTTAAAAACTTGTTACTCTAACTTGGAATAAGTTAGCCAAAGTAAAACACGCTGTCTCAGATTTATCTTTCCAGCCACTGCTGTATGATCGGTTCAACCAAAGATTTGTTTCTCTCTCTTTTATTTAGGTAGCTTTCAGAAAAATAAAGGTGACCAGTTATTCACATGAAAAAATCTAAGGCTAAAGGCTAAGTCTGGCAAGCCTTCAGATTTAAAACAACTGCTTTAGAGGATGAATAAGAGCATGCTCTGTGTGTACATTTACTGCAGAAGAAGTCTTACTGTCATCATCTTCCCTCCAGCTCCCCTGCATGTTGTACCCCTGTTTCAGGGTCAGTGGCTCTGAGGCGCTCAGATATAGCTCAGGGCACTTCATACATTCATGATACCCTAAGATTGTACAGTAAGTTAATTAGCTGGAATTAATTGATCGAAATTGTGGTGTAGGAAATTGTGATGTTTATATGAAAATAAAGCATTGCCAAGCCAAGAATGTGGCATTATCACAGTTTGAGAGGAGGAGAAAAGATAAAAAGAGTGGAAGTCAGCTAACACAAATAATATCTCTGTTTACAGGACACATGAGTTATGCAAAAACAGCTGTGTTGACATCATGCTGATGTTGCAATATTAGGCTAAATAGAAAAAGCTGTATTTTATTGGAATGAACATTCACTTAATTATTGTCAATATACATAGCTGTAAGGAGAAAACAGCTGAGCGGCAGATGTTCAACTCAATATTTTTCAGTGAAAGGTGAGGACACTCAAATCTCAAACATGTTGATTTTCACAGACAAAAAGACAACACCAGTGTTTTTGTTTTTTTGGCATGATATCTTCATTTCCATGACACAGCAGTCTTTAGTGAGGTAGACTATAACAGGTCAAGAAGTAGTAACATTGCTCCTTAAACCGGCATGTGAAATGACATGAAGTATTTCCATGTACAGTGTCTTTACAATGAGGTAGAAAAAGGTGAGAGAATGTACGAAAGAACAACAGAATTACAAAGGTAACACTGAAAGCCCAATTTCCAGCTGCTAGACAAATTCAACTCCACTTACTTCAGTGAATCAATGTCTCACACACGTGAAATGCTGTTGTCTGTCACAGTGTGTAGATTAACGCAGAGCACATTTTGTGTGGCATTGAAGAGCATTCAATTGTTGTAGCTAAGCGCTTAAATACTTTAAAACCTGGGGGTAAGAATACATTGTTTGCTTAATACCTCTTCATTAATCTGTCATTTTTCTTCAACATAATTTGACACAATCTGTTTTATTAGAGCTTTTTTCACAGTAAGTTTAATTTTTAAAATGTGTTTAAAATTTCCAAGAGAGGCATTAAAATACTTTTTCATATTCTGAAGCGGTGTTTCAGACCAAATCATACTACTTAAGGGGATCTGCTCTCCAGCCATGCTTTCAGGTGGGAGTTGGTTTTTGTTATAGCCTCTAAAGAATCAGACTCAGATTTATCGTTGAACATACAAGGAATTTGCCTCTGGTTAATGTAAAGGCTTAATGTTGCAAAAACAACAGTGTGTCACAGTTTGTGAAGGGATGAAACAGTGAAGCAACAAAGCTACAATTCAGTAAAAAAATGCTCAGATTTGTAACGCTACATATTTTATGACAGCATACATAATAGATCACAGTTGTTTATCAGAATTAACATCTTCCTTCTTCATGGTGTCAGTTCAGGCTGACTGACTGGTGACATTGTGTAAAGCAGTTTTAAAATACTGACATGAAAATGAGAGATTGGACACTGTAATAAGACATTTATTAAACATGCCTATTATAAAGCATATACTGTAGTATGTGTATGTCTTGATATGTCCAACATTAGCTATCAGGAGTGCTTTCTTTTGGCATTTTGTCCACTAAACCTTTTCCCCACTGCTAACTACACTAACACTTAACATGGCATTTATTTCACCAAAACCTATAAAAGAATTACATCTATACATGAAGAAAATATGTTTCATATATCTAAAAACATCATTGATGTACATTATGACATTTTTGTCCTTAAAAAAAAATCTGAATTACATTCAACATTTCGGTCCTTAGTACAAAAACCTCAAGTTTAATTTCCAAGAACTAAGAGACAGTGTGTTAGTGTGTGTGCACGCATGTGTCTGTGTGTGTGTGTGTGTGTGTGTGTGTGTATGTGTGTGTATGTGTGTGCATGTACTTTCTGCTGTTAGAATCAAAGGCCATTAAGTTCATTATTTCCCTGAAGTGTTCAGAGTATCTTTGCTCTTTGACAAAGCCATGGCTCCATAAAGCTGACTACAAACACCCGAAGGTAATATAACATACATTCTTATTTTATCATTCTGAGGTAACAATTTTCTTCCTGAGTATTTGATAACACAATTATAAAGCATCTTTTTTAGAGGCAAAAGTAAAGAGAATGCATATTTTAAAACAAAAAAAAGTGAATCCTAGAAGACAAGCAGGTAGATTTTCATAACGGAAGTAAAAATTGTCACAGGTGCTCACTCACTCCTCTCCATCATCCTGGATTGCCTTTTAAGCCCTTTTCAGACATGCACTGGAACCCTAAAATTCTCTAGACATTACTTACGGGTGCTGTATGTAAGAACGCAAATGTCCGAGTCAGTCGACCCAGACCTCATGCGGACTTTAGTCTGCCAGTTCTTTGAGAATACAGCAGCGTATAATCCAGAGTATGCACACGGAGCTAGTGGGCATGTTGATAACATTCCATCATTTGACTGGCGCAAAAAATACAAACATCCAATGGTGAAGAAAAATGGTCATTTATAATGGAAACGCTAATGAAAATATCTGACTGGAGACACAATGTGATCCATGAGCCTCTGTCATTAAGAGCCGGTGTAGTCACATGTCTGCCTGATTCTGCAGACGTAGTCCAGAGTTCATCTGTGAAAATGGATTTAGTCTGCACTGTGCATCCAAACAGGCACCTTTGAACAGTTTGCTCACAGGGAATTATACCAGCATGGTTGTTTGATTTTTGTTTTTCCTAGGTCATTTTGTGGATTTGTGCAGTGATTATTTCTTGCAGTATTCTAATTAAACACAAATTATATAGAAAATATACCCACTTGTTTTCAGATTACCAGAAATCTGCAAATCTGCATCCCCACTCTTTATTTACGAGAACAATTTAAAGGGCAGCTTCATCCTATCATTTTGATCATTTGATAAGCAGCTTGGTATGTATAAACAAAAGTAATTTAGCAATGAAAAAGGCTGAGCACAGGAGGCCATAATTATATAAAGAATGAGAGAAGGAACAAGTTAAGGAAATAAAAATAAAATCAAG